CCCTGTAAAACCTTAGACTAAAATGCTGCCCACCTTCTGGGTCAGAGCACTACCGTATTCCCCGACTCAACCTGCAGAACTGACATACCTGTTTGTTTGACGAGGGGAATCACACCTTAGTCTGTACTTTTCGGCTTGGACCAGTAAGAGCACAAACCCCCCTCTATGCCATGCCCCGCTGACTGGCAAGAAATGGCTCTTACCTTTTTCCACAAGGCTGCTGTTCAAATGGTGAGCCTCTGTGCTGTGCCCTGATGCTGGAAAAAGTGGGACTAGTTGAAGGATCTTGCTACGGAGATTATACCAAAAAGAAGCTAGAAGGCTGAAACAGCAACTCATTTTTTTCCTTTTTTACTTTCTTCTGACAGGAAAGCAAGTATAAATGCTCTTGTCAAAACCAGATGAGAGCGACTGAATTAATTTTACATAAAATTAGCTGTTACAGGAGAGAAGAAAACACTGCTTAAAAGAAAACAGTACTCAAAAATCTTGGCAAAGTTCATTACAGTGAGATTTTAAACATAGCTGACTTGATTCTTTCTTAGTTACGTAAGAAAACTCATGCAATGTCTGCTCAGTATTTTCGACTATCTGAAGACTATTTTATCTGCCCTTTCTCTTGACACGCAGTAATTAATCCAGTAGTGAGATCCCTCCACCATTAGAGGGATTTTTCATGCCATGTAGTCCCCACGTATATAATAGGACAATACGTCGTTATGAACGAAAAAACTGCCAAACTGGGATGCAATTATCTACCATCAGCACCATGTGTATCTGCGAAGGCAGGCTGCCCAGAGATGATTAACATCTCTCAACTGAATTTCCAATTGTCACACGCCTGATGAGGTGCATTACTATCCAATCCTAAGTAAAACATTCGCAATCTCAACATGGTGTATCTCTTAAAATGAGAAAACTACAAACTAGTTAATATTTACAGTTTTTGTATTGTTACCTTTACTATCAAACTCAGCTGATAGCAAATGTAAAATTGCATATACTTTTCAAATTGATGAAAACCACCCCCAAGGCAAAAATCTAAATACAAGTAAAAAGGGCAGCAGTAAAAGCTGTCATATTTTAAATAAAAGTATGAGTGAGGTTCTACAACGGTCTTAATGCCCTTCTGCGTAGCAAAAATTGAGACAGCAAAGTGCCTGTAAAAGTGTATCTAATTGCTTAAAGCTCATTTCAAATTCATTATCAATTAACAGGTACCACTTTAAGATATCAGCACATTAAAAATTTCCTGGGAAGATAAAACCAATTTTTCTTGTAACAGATAAGCAAAAGCGGCTTTGTGATCCGTAATCAAATTTCTTCCAAGATGTCTGTTAGTCTGTTCAGTCTTTGGACAACTACACGTCACAAGCTGTGGCAGATGCTCTGACCTCCAAAGGCTGCTCCATTTTGGTAGAGTTAAAAGACACCCCCGGTTTGTTTCAGAGACTTACTCACTACTTTGAACCTCTCCACAATAGAACACACAACTTTGCAGATCGTTTGAAAGGCTCGGGAGGTGAATATAGTAAGGCCTTTTTGAATCTTTAATTTGCAGTGAAGTTTCTCTCCTGTAGATTTGAGGCTAGTGAAAATAGGTTAAATTTCCTGCTTCAAATTAAACAGTGACAGTGGTAAATAGTTATCCAGAATAGGTCCTCTAAAACACTATCTAGAGCAAGAGGACTATATAACATCTTGGTTATCTTCTATCTTTCTAGCTGTGCTATGGCCAGGATGAAAACCACCACCATGTAAGGGTGCAGTATAAGGCACATGGCTAGCTGAGTTACCTTCAGCAAAGTGATTTGAACAGAATCAGTTCAGCTCCCATTAGAGCTCCATCGGGGAACACTGCGGGAACCCTAATCAAGCCCCACAAAACTATTAAGTGAACATAAGGTAAGGAGCCTTCATCAAGAGGGTAATAGGTGGACATTATCCCTAGGCAGACTTTCATGAAACTAAACTCCTTCAGCGAGAAGAAAGTGTAGAATACCAGCGACTGAGGCCACAAACTTCTGCTCAAAATGCCAGACTGAAAGCCTTTCTGTTTGGCCTAGCAGAACCTTCTTGCCAATGAGCGTTTTCTTTAGCAGTGAGGCTGAGATGACAGAGGAAAGTCACAAGCTGAACATGGGTGCTGAAGCAAAGCAAGTGTTCCACATATCCTGTAACTACAGGGTCTTACCTTACAGCAGGAGGAGGAGTGGAGGGAACCTCATCGATGGACTTTATATTAGAGTCTTGGCACCTGGACAGCCATATTTTATGGTCCAAAAAGAAAAAAAAAATGAAGTATCTATAGAGCTATCAACCATTTAGATCATATAGTCTGCCATATTACTAGAAATCAGCAAACAGACCTGTTTCTGGACTTCAGTTCT